TGACCGCAGACGCTATTTTCGCAGCACTGCTTTGATGCCAAGGTTCGGCCCCAGGCTTGGTCGGCTCACTGTGTCAGCTAACACGGAAAATAATTCATATTAATGGCCCATGTTTACAGGTCACATATTTACGAACACTCCACTGCTCTCTCAAGAAAAGCTTGTTAACTGACTAAACTAAAAATTATACGCGATCATTTCCATTTTCAGTAGATGAATTGCTTACTTATTTTTGTCAGTCTTGATACGTTCGTTAATTGTGAGCCATTGGCATTTTTTTCACGACCTATGCTTGTAATAAACATTCAGTTCATGAGCACTCTTACAAACAGTCTACGGATTTGGGATCCAATATTTCATTTATTCGAAAACTCAACAATGTTCTACCATTGAGGCATCACCACATACCTAAGCCATCTCGTATATGTGACCGTTCAAGAATTTTTTTGTAATATTGTAAAAAGTTTTACGTAAAATATTTTTCGTCCATCATACCAACAATAGCTGCCAGTTCGTAACTCCCACAGTCAATCACGGATTTATTTTCAAGCTGAGTCCGCTAATCAAAAACGAGAAATCGGCAGCTACATACATTTAATTAGCCGCTACTTGTTCGAAGGCCGATACGTGTACGTAGGCCACGACATGTACTTAGGCTGCTACGTGTACTTAGGTCGCTATGTGTACTTNCGGGTGTTGGAGGGACGGGTGTTGGAGGGACGGGTGTTGGAGGGACAGGTGTTGGAGGGACGGGTGTTGGAAGGACGGGTGTTTGAGGGACGGATGTTGGAAGGACGGGTGTTTGAGGGACGGATGTTGGAGGGACGGGTGTTGGAAGGACGGGTGTTGGAGGGACGGGTGTTGGAGGGGTGTTGGAGGGATGGGTGTTGGAGGGACGGGTGTTAGAGAGACGGGTGTTGGAGGGACGGGTGTTGGAGGGTTGGTCACAGCTCGAGCAGAAGAGCAGCGTTCGTCAAGAGGCTCGTCTTGTAGACACAGACTCAATCCTGACCGCAAACTTGCTGCTTCTGGCCGCCGTGTTCAGCCAGGCCGCCGTGTTAAACTTACCCCTGAGTTCATTTATCACATTGAAAACTTTTCTCATACTCAGCATCATCAGATTTATTGAAGCAAAAGGACTCGACTTAGTTTTTCTTTTCACTATTACAAAGAACTTTTGTCCATGGGCAGAATTTCGGGCACAAGTGCGGCGTGTCTCAAACAATTGCTAGTCTGACTGAAATATACCACAGAATGCTGGACTCAGCGCCTGCGTTCGCTTTAAATGATTGTACTGCATTAGATGTAGTATAAACTTGTGGCGATGTCATAACTGCAGCAGTAGCTGCAGTTATAAAAACAACAGCAACATCAGCAGTATCAGCAGCTACAGAAACTGCCATTACTACAACAATTGCTGCTGATATTGCTACAACAATCATGCTGCAGCAGCAGCAGCGCCCGCAGCATCACCAGCATCAAAGGCAGCGCCAGCATCAGCACTACCAGCAGCAGCACCAGCAGCAGCAACACCAGCAGCAGCATCAGCTTCAGCAGCAGCACCAGCAGCAGCAACACCAGCAGCAGAAGCAGCAGCACCCGCAGCAGCATCAGCATCAGCACCACCAGCAACAGCACCAGCACCACCAGCAACAGCACCAGGAGCAGTAGCACATGCATCAGCATCAGCTTCAGCAGCAGCACCAGCAGGAGCAACACCAGCAGCAGCAGCACCAGCATCACGAGCATCAGCAGCATCATCAGCAGAAGCAGCAGCACAAACAGCACCAGCAGCAGCACCAGCATCACCAGCAGCACCAGCAGCAGCAGCACAAACAGCACCAGTAGCAGCACCACCAGCAGCGGTGTTTCCTCTTCAAAGCCCCGCCTCCTGTAGACGGCCGCTTTGCCTGCGTCAGAATATTAGTGCAGCGAATGAAATGTTTACAGCAAGTAACGCACTGCCTTCTGCGGAGCACACCAATTATACCTCCAGGAAAACAATATTTGCTTTAGAGAACACAATATTCGTCGCAAGGAAATAATGTTTGCTGCAGAAAACGCTATATTCACAGTAAGCAAAACAACATTTACTGCGGAGAAGACAAAATTTAATGCCAGCAACTGGTAAGATTTTGCGGAGAACACTGTATTGTGTTGTGTTCCGTCTGTGGTATTCCTCTAACTAGCTTTTAACTTACCTGTATGTCAATAGGAATTGTCATTGTTGTAACCCATTGTACAATGTTGTTCAGTTCGTAATAAACCTCTGCCCACTGCGGTGTCACTTACTCTTGGCCCTTTATACGTTCAACCTCGGTCACGTCACGTCTCATGCCTAGAATTTCTACTATACTGTATACATAATATGAATTTATGGCGTAATAAGATGCCACAACGTAACGGAAGAAGAAGATGTCTTCTTCTTACGTATCTCCAAAGCCGTCCTATATCCTCTATATCCTTCGCCTTCATACTTCTTATACGACAACCTCGGCAGTTCGTCTTAGGCAGCGCAATCACTTGTGCCAGCAATCTTGCGCCGACAATCTTGCGGTGACAATCTTACAGCGACAATCTGGCGACGGCAATCGATTCCGGTTCCTTGTCACATTTGTCAGTCGTCAAGACAGCGTCAGGAGGGGCCTGATTCTGGTCCGGGAGCTCCACTGACGTCACCGTGCTAACTTGACTTGTCGGCTGACATCGGAGTTTCAGCATGTCAGTTCAGTATATTTATGTATTTTAAGCGATATATTTTCGCTTCAAATAATACTGCCAGAATTTTAAAACAAATTAATGTTTTGCCCTTAGTCGCAGAGAAAAGGAATGTTTTTATATTTATGAACATTGCCTGTCTGAAACCAACATATTGACAACCTTCACGTTAGGACTCTTTTCATGTTAGGACTCTTTTCATGTTAGGACCCTTATCATGTTAGGACCCTTATCATGTTAGGACCCTTATCATGTTAGGACCCTTATCATGTTATGACCTTTATCACGTAAGCGTCATCAGCCCCGACATCAGCACAGCAGAAGCGCATGAAAAAATTAGCCTTCATTGAGCCGCGCGAAATTAGAAGCTCAGAGCGCAGCAGGCTACTGCAGACTTGATGGGAGTGTAGCGTGCAAACTTGTAATTATTCTTTTTCATTGTAAAGCACAGATTTATTGTAAACATTAACAAACATCACCAAGCATCTTCTCTCAACACACAACATTAACCAACATCATGCCGTGGTAACATTACTAAACATCATATCTCACCACACATTATCATGACCTGCAGGCAACATCACCAACATCATATCTCATCACACAACATCACTAAACATCACATCTCACCACACAACATCACTACACATCACATCTCACCACACAACATCACATCTCACCACACAACATCACATCTCACCACTCAACATCACTTAACATCACATCTCATCACACAACATCACTACACATCACATCTCACCACACAACATCTCTAAACATAACATCTCACCACACAACATCACTAAACATCACATCTCACCACACAACATAACGTGCAAGCAACATCACTAAACATCACATCTCACCACACAGCATCACTAAACATCACATCTCACCACACAACATCACTACACATCACATCTCACCACACAACATCACTACACATCCTGTCTCTTATACACATCTAGATGTGTATAAGAGACAGGGTGTGAGGTGACGTGTGAGGGGTGTGAGGTGACGTGTGAGGGGTGTGAGGTGACGAGTGAGGGGTGTGAGGTGACGTGGAGGGGTGTGAGGTGACGTGTGAGGGGCATGAGGTGACGTGGAGGGGTGTGAGGTGACGTGGAAGGGTGTGAGGTGACGTGGAGGGGTGTGAGGTGACGTGTGAGGGGCATGAGGTGACGTGGAGGAGCATGAGGTGCCGTGGAGGGGCATGAGGTGACGGGTGCCGTGGAGGGGCATGAGGTGCCGTGGAGGGGCATGAGGCGCCCACACCCCCCTCCTCCCGCCAGGGGTACGAGCGCTCGGGCAGCTACCGCGTGCCCATCGTGGGGGCGGCGGGGGTGGGCAAGACGGCGCTCATCCATCAGTTCCGCACCTCTGAGTGCATCAACGCCTACGACTGTCCGGCGCCCGGTCTGTTGCTATAACTTTATATACAATTATTTTATATTAAAATACTAATTGCATTACGGTCTGTTGTTATAACATTATATACAATTATATTATATTAAAATACTAATTGCATTACGGTCTGTTGCTATAACATTATATACAATTATATTATATTAAAATACTAATTGCATTACGGTCTGTTGTTATAACTTTATATACAATTATATTATATTAAAATACTAATTGCATTACGGTCTGTTGCACCAAAGTTATAACGTTATATAAAATTATATTATATTAAAATCTACATTACTAATGAGTCGTACGAGTAAGAATTTCGATATTTGGACAATTAGATTCGTTTTTTCTGAGTGTATGCATGAATATTGCTCGGTGATTCTCATAGTTTGAAATAATGCACCAACGCTATAACATTATATAAAATTATATTTTATTAAAATCTACATTATTAATGAGTCGTAAGTGTAAGAATTTCACTATTTGGGCAATTAGAATAAAATAGAATAATTCGATTCATTTTATGAGTGTAAGCAGGAATACGTCTCAGTGATTCACATAGTTTGAAATAATTGATCTTTTAATTTCTAATTTCAGGAGACGGCGACGACAGAGAGGCCACAGTGTCCATTGTCCTCAATAACTACGAATCTGAAATTATTTTTGTTATTAATTACATTACGGTCTGTTGCTATTACATTATATACAATTATATTATATTAAAATGTTAATTACATTACGGCCAGTTGCACCAACGTTATAACGTTATATAAAATTATATTATAGTAAAGTACTAATTACATTACGGTCTGTTGCAGGAACGCTATAACAGTATATAAAATTATATTTTATTAAAATCTACATTACTAATGAGTCGTACGAGTAAGAATTTCGATATTTGGACAATTAGATTCATTTTTCTGAGTGTATGCAGGAATATATCTCGGTGATTCTCATAGATTGAAATAATGCACCAGCGCTATAACATTATATAAAACTATATTATATTAAATTCTACATTATTAATGAGTCGTAAGTGTAAGAATTTCGATATTTGGACAATTAGATTCGTTTTTCTGAGTGTATGCATGAATATTGTTCGGTGATTCTCATAATTTGAAATAAGCGATCTTTTAATTTCTAATTTCAGGAGACGGCGACGACAGAGAGGCCACAGTGTCCATTGTCCTCAATAACTACGAATCTGAAATTATTTTTGTTAACGTCTCCACACCTGAGGAATTCAAGGTAAATTTTTCGCATTTTGCTGTGATTGAAAACTGTAAAAAAGTTGTTCAGTGAAATTTTTCGATGTAAAATATTATAACATTATTCGGAGACTAATCATCGAGTTCTTGTCGAGGCTCATCGAGATTAATGAAACAATAATGAGCAAAAATATCATTTAATGATTAATATATTTAGCTCGATTAATTGCTTTATTTGCTGATTGTACATGTACTCTCTGAAATTTGTGAACTGATGATGGGACTTGTCTCTGAAATGTTTTCCTGTACATACGATGAATTTACTTGGCATTTTTGTCGCTTTTAAATTACCGTTAAACTTGCGATCTAAGCAAACTAATGATATAAGTATTAACCCTACAGTGGTAGCATGGATTACATATGTAAACCACGCGTACGAAAATCGACCGCAACGTAACCGACCGAAAATGCGTCCAATCTGGTTAATTTTTAGCCCGCGCTCAATTTGCTTAATATATTTACAATTTAAAAAAAAAATTTTAATTAACATGGCATCGGCCAAGTCGACAGCAGTATTACTTTAATCAATTTACATTTAGATTAATCTATAAACAAATGCCATCCATGCTCAGGACGAGACGGCACAGGACGTAGCGTGCTGGGCTGGTCAATTTTTAGCCCGAGCTTAATTTTGGTTAATATATTTGCAATATTTCTTTTATTAATTTAATTAAATTACATTTAGATTAATTGATTAACAAATGCCACGCCCATGCAGGACGAGACGGCACAGGATATGTAGCGGGCTGGGCATGTCAATTTTAAGCCCGCGCTCAATATTGGTTAATGTCGCACCGCAGTAAAAACCCTCGAAAAAAGTATTGCTAAAAATGCAAAAAGAACCCGAAAGCCTTCTTTTTGTACGCTAGCTCGAAGTGCAAGATGAAGGACGGTATTTCTGATTTGAAAGTAGATCAGCGAAAGATATCCTCTGATGCTGTCTCTTATACACATCTAGATGTGTATAAGAGACAGTTCTTGTCTAGTATAAAAATGCTGGCTATAAAGCGCTCTTTACAGTTTCTGTTGACTAGTGAGCGTCGGTTGATATATGAATTGGGTCTCAATAAGGTAACTAATACTAAGTACTGGGCTCCAGGGAACATTTATCAATTTAATGAAAAGCTCCATCATCTAGGGCACCAGAGAATTAACAAAATTATTCAGATGTCAATAAAGTGAACTGCTTTAAATCCATGTGTATATGACCTGTCTCTTATACACATCTAGATGTGTATAAGAGACAGGTGGTCTACAGCATCACCGACAAAGCAAGTTTCCAGCGCGCCAGCGAGCAGCTCGAGACGCTCAAATCCATGTTGCTGCTGCGGGGCAAGGCGGTCATACTCGTCGCGAACAAGTGCGAGCTGGTGCGGTCCCGGGCCGTTAATGTGGATGGTGAGTCATGGTGATGAGTGGGTCATGATGTGGGTCATGGTGGTGAGTGGGTCATGATGGTGAGTCATGGTGGTGAGTGGGTCATGATGTGGGTCATGGTGGTGAGAGGGTCATGGTGGTGAGTGGGTCATGATGGTGAGTGGGTCATGGTGGTGAGTGGGTCATGGTGGTGAGTGGGTCATGGTGGTGAGAGACTCGAGCTCCAGGGCAGTCACTGTTGATGGTGAGTGACTTATGATAGTAACTCATGCTCTAGTGCCGTGTTGATGGTGAGAAGCAGCAGTAGTACTAGAAGAGGTTTTCGCTCACGGTATATTCATACAGTTCTCCCAATTGATGCACCAACTAACTAATGATAATTATTAGTGGCTAATAGGAAGCCAATTAGTGCTACGTGGCGGCTTGTGGTACATGAAGTCTGGTGAAGACAGAAAAAAGTAAGCAAAATAAATCGATAAAATTCCGCAAAATTACTCTAATTAATTAAGAAAGCAGCGATATCTACTGATTAAGTTTATAATAAGAGTAATTACAGGGGTTCACTGAAAAAAATGAAAGGTTATATTGTCGAAAAGTGACTCATTTTCTGCACGCAGCACTGTGATCCACTTTTGTGAAGACCCATACTAGGTCTAAGAGTGCATATTTGAACCAAATATCACTCAATCCTCTGAATTCTCACCCACATAAGAACATTATTATTTGGACAAAGTCACACTTATTCCTCCTAGTCACCCACACAAGGGCATCACCATTTGGACAAAGTCACACTTATTCATACGGGTTTTCACCCACACAATTAAGGGCATCACCTTATGGACATAGTTTCACACATTTTTCTGAATCATCGTTTATCTCGCGCAGATGGACGGGAGTTGGCCATCAACTACGGGGCGAAGTTCATGGAGATCAGCGTGGGTATGAACCACAAGTGCGATGACCTGCTGGTGGGCATCCTGCACCAACTGCGGCTCAAGGAGGAGGCCGAGCCAACTGTGAGTGGTACTTTAAATAACCATGCAGCATGGCCAGCTGTGAGTGGTACTTTCAATTACCGTGCAGCATGACCAGCTGTGAGTGGTAATTTCAATTACTACGCACCATTATATATTAATTACCATGTGCGAGTGATAGTTTCACTTGCAGCGCACCATGGTGGAAATTTTGGCTGCCGCGTTAAATACCTTTGACCAATTGTAATTAATTAATTTAAATTATTTACTGTATTGCATCCTAAGCATCTATAATTAATTTTATTAAAACAATATTTGACTACAGGAACCCCACACACGGTCGGCCTGGACCCGAAATCGTTCGTTGATGCGAGCGTCGAGGAAAGCCAAGCGTCTCATCAACCGCGTTATGGGCAAGTCCGACAGCAAATACAAGTCCTGCGAGGACTTCAACAAATAACCGAAGCAACGTTCTGCCACTTCACCTACAAAATTTAGAGGCAATATTCTGCATCTTTCCAGATAAAATTTAGAGGCAATATTCAGCCTCTTTCCAGATAAAATTTAGAGGCAGCATCCTGCCTCTTTCCCCAACAAATTCTAGAGGCAATATTCTGTCTCATCTCCAAGAAAATTCAGAGGCAATATTCTGACTCTTCTCCAATCAAATTTTGAGGCAATATTCTGCCTCTTTCCAATTAAAATTTAGAGGTAACATTCTGCCTCTACCACAACAAAATTACGAGGCAACATTCTGCCTCTTCCCAGACAAGATATAAACAAACCCCAGTGTCTGATCACCAGAAGCTGGAGCGTCTATAAATTTTGTTTGGGTTGTCAATTTCGCGAAACTAAAGCCATAATCACGAATTATATACAGCTTTGGGATAAACGGCCGCCTTTCGTCCGCGTGTGAACTTCAAATTGCATGAAATCGTCGTTACAGTGTAACTTAGATTCATCTTCTTCAGGGAATTCCCAAAGTTAATACGCAGGAGGGTTTGCATGAGAAGAATTCATATCCTCGTTAGTTTGAAATGAACACTCACGAGTCTATTGAAACTTATTTGTCATTCGAGATCACCAGAGAGCTCTGTCACTGCGACCAGCAGCGTGACTGACAGTTATTAAGGTGATGAAATTATCACCAATATTTTACAGTAATAACACCACGCGAATGCGTGATAGCAAAAAATTGCTAAGAAATGAAGAGTCATCGCAGGATGTAGCAGGCTGGGCTGGTCAATTTTTAGCCCGCGCTCAATATTGGTTAATATATTTGCAATATTTTTTTAATTACTTTAATTAAATTCCATTTAGATTAATTGATTAACAAATGGCGCGCTCAGGACGAGACGGCGCAGGATGTATCGGGCTGGGCTGGTCAGTCAATTTTTAGCCCGAGGTCAATTTTAGTTAATATATTTACAATATATTTTTAATAAATTCGTAATTAATGCGGCATCGGCCAAACCCACATTAGTATTACTTTAATTAAATTAGATTTACATTAATAAATAAACAAATGGCATGCTCAGGACGAGACGGCGCAGGATGTAGCGGGCTGGGTCGTGGTCTACAGCATCACCGACAAAGCAAGTTTCCAGCGCGCCAGCGAGCAGCTCGAGACGCTCAAATCCATGTTGCTGCTGCGGGGCAAGGCGGTCATACTCCTGTCTCTTATACACATCTAGATGTGTATAAGAGACAGACCTTGTATAGACCATGAGTATACTTGTATACTTCAATGAGGTCCCCACGCAGACGTCGATAACTGAGGCTTGGAAGCTTCATAATCTTCAATCTTTCTTCATAGGACTTGCCCTTCAAGCCTGGAATTATCCTTGTTGCACGTCTTTGAACATTCTCTATTAAATTTCTGTCCTTTTCGAATCTCGGTGACCACACAACGTTTCCAAACTCTAGACCTGTCTCTTATACACATCTAGATGTGTATAAGAGACAGGTTCAAAGACGTGCAACAAGGATAATTCCAGGCTTGAAGGGCAAGTCCTTTGAAGAAAGATTGAAGATTATGAAGCTTCCAAGCCTCAGTTATCGACGTCTGCATGGGGACCTCATTGAAGTATACAAGTATACTCACGGTTTATACAAGGTCTTAGGAGGATTACTAGAATTTGAAACAAGAATCAACACCAGGGGCCACGGAAAAAAAGTCATGAAAAGTTCAAGAATCGGCAACAGGCCATGGGCCTATTTCTTCAACGCCGACACTTCTATTCTATTCTAATATATTTGCAATATTTTTTTATTACTTTAATTAAATTACATTTAACTTAATCAAGTAACAAATGCCATTCTCAGGACGAGACGGCGCAGGATGTAGCAGGCTGGGCTGGTCAATTTTTAGCCCGCGCTCAATATTGGTTAATATATTTGCAATATTTTTTTAATTACTTTAATTAAATTACATTTAGATTAATTGATTAACAAATGGCGCGCTCAGGACGAGACGGCGCAGGATGTATCGGGCTGGGCTGGTCAGTCAATTTTTAGCCCGAGGTCAATTTTAGTTAATATATTTACAATATATTTTTAATAAATTCGTAATTAATGCGGCATCGGCCAAACCCACATTAGTATTACTTTAATTAAATTAGATTTACATTAATAAATAAACAAATGGCATGCTCAGGACGAGACGGCGCAGGATGTAGCGGGCTGGGTCGTGGTCTACAGCATCACCGACAAAGCAAGTTTCCAGCGCGCCAGCGAGCAGCTCGAGACGCTCAAATCCATGTTGCTGCTGCGGGGCAAGGCGGTCATACTCGTCGCGAACAAGTGCGAGCTGGTGCGGTCCCGGGCCGTTAATGTGGATGGTGAGTCATGGTGATGAGTGGGTCATGATGTGGGTCATGGTGGTGAGTGGGTCATGATGGTGAGTCATGGTGGTGAGTGGGTCATGATGTGGGTCATGGTGGTGAGAGGGTCATGGTGGTGAGTGGGTCATGATGGTGAGTGGGTCATGGTGGTGAGTGGGTCATGATGCTAAGTGGGTCGTGATGGTGAGTGAGTCATGGTGGTGAGTGGGTCATGATGGTGAGTGGGTCATGATGGTGAGTGGGTCATGGTGGTGAGTGGGTCATGGTGGTGAGTGGGTCATGATGGTGAGTGGGTCATGGTGGTGAGTGGGTCATGATGGTGAGTGGGTCATGGTAGTGAGGGAGTCATGATGGTGAGTGAGTCATGGTGGTGAGCGGGTCATGGTAGTGAGTGGGTCATCGCGATGAGAGACTCGAGCTCCAGGGCAGTCACTGTTGATGGTGAGTGACTTATGATAGTGAATAACTCATGCTCTAGTGCCGTGTTGATGGTGAGAAGCAGCAGTAGTACTAGAAGAGGTTTTCGCTCACGGTATATTCATACAGTTCTCCCAATTGATGCACTGACTAACTAATGATAATTATTAGTGGCTAATAGGAAGCCAATTAGTGCTACGTGGCGGCTTGTGGTACATGAAGTCTGGTGAAGACAGAAAAAAGTAAGCAAAATAAATCGATAAAATTCCGCAAAATTACTCTAATTAATTAAGAAAGCAGCGATATCTACTGATTAAGTTTATAATAAGAGTAATTACAGGGGTTCACTGAAAAAAATGAAAGGTTATATTGTCGAAAAGTGACTCATTTTCTGCACGCAGCACTGTGATCCACTTTTGTGAAGACCCATACTAGGTCTAAGAGTGCATATTTGAACCAAATATCACTCAATCCTCTGAATTCTCACCCATGTAAGAACATTATTATTTGGACAAAGTCACATTTATTCCTCCTAGTCACCCACATAAGGGCATCACCATTTGGACAAAATCATACTTATTGCTACGGGTTCTCACCAACACAAGGGCATCATAATTTGGACAAAGTTACACTTATTCCTACGGGTTCTCACCCACATAAGAACATCATTATTTGGACAAAGTCACATTTATTCTTCCTAGTAACCCACACAATGGCATCACCATTTGGACAAAGTCATACTTATTCCTACGGGTTCTCACTCACACAAGTGCATCACCATTTGGACAAAGTCATACTTATTGCTACGGGTTCTCACCCACATAAGAACATCATTATTTGGACAAAGTCACACTTATTCATACGGGTTTTCACCCACACAATTAAGGGCATCACCTTATGGACATAGTTTCACACATTTTTCTGAATCATCGTTTATCTCGCGCAGATGGACGGGAGTTGGCCATCAACTACGGGGCGAAGTTCATGGAGATCAGCGTAGGTATGAACCACAAGTGCGACGACCTGCTAGTGGGCATCCTGCACCAGCTGCGGCTCAAGGAGGAGGCTGAGCCAACTGTGAGTGATATTTTTAATAACCATGCAGCATGACCAAGTGTGAGTGATATTTTCAATTATTGCGCAGCATGACCAGCTGTGAGTGGTACTTTTAATTACCGCGCAGCATGGCCAGCTGTGAGTGGTACTTTTAATTACCACGCAGCATGACCAGCTGTGAGTGGTACTTTCGATTACCGTGCAGCATGACCAGCTGTGAGTGGTACTTTTAATTACCGTGCAGCATGACCAACTGTGAGTGGTATTTTTAATTACCGTGCAGCATGACCAACTGTGAGTGGTATTAATCTATGATGAGTGTTGAGGAATCAGGGAGGCAATAAACTTGGGTAATCCAAGCTTTATTCAACAAATGCCCAGTTACCTGGAAGAATAATAGCCGATATAAGATACTTATCAACACTACGCAGATCAATTAACATTAAATAACAAAAAAAATTTAATAGATAAAGGTTTAGAAAAAAAAACATACAACAGAGAAGAGAGATCCGTTCATACTGGATACTACAAAGAGACTGCAAACAAACGTCGGAGTCTCATCACATTACGTCGTGATGTGACGTAGTACAATTTTTTATAGCGGACATGTGTAGGTTGTCAAGCACGCCGAGCTGTGTGCCCTGTACAAAACTTTGTTCATCTCATAGGTCTAGATCAGTGGTTCCCAAAGTGGGCGATATCGCCCCCCTAGGGGCGGTGGAAGGATTTTGGGGGGCGGTAATGAAGTAGAAGGCGGTAGGGGGGCGGTAGGAGGGCGGTAGTCCGAAGTCAATGTAAGAAGTTCAAACGTTTGTTTGACGATTTGAAGTTTGTACACAACACGTGCAGCACATGACTCCCATGCAGCGATGGTTTTTTCACCCAGATCTGTTTTTTAACCTCTCCTGAGTTTACGTCTCGGACAAATTAACGGCTGGTCTCACGGCCAATTTCCAAATTCAATGATCAAGGAATATCTCTCAAACTAATGAACTTAACTTGATGAAACTTGGTACACGTATTCATTAGTACCTAGCGATAATGTTTTGCTCGTGAAAATTGTTTGAATTTTCCATCGTTTGTTTTTGCCATAGTTACATACGTAGATGGCAATCACTGTTCATATCGTGAGTACATTTCTCGTAGTAAGTACGTAATGAGTAATCAATTCGTGAACATCGGCAGTTGTTAGTTGAGGCTAGCTTCACGTTACAGCAATGACAGCGCTCAATGAATATCTTTAGCCCCACATGGAAGGGTAAAAAACTGAGCTCATTTAGAGGCTTCGAAAGAAGAAAAGCCCATCAGATGCAAACAGATCAACAATTGCTAATGCGGAAATTTTTTTATGTTTGCAAAAAAAAAAATGTGTAAAATTAACTGACATGTGCTTCTAGCAGAAGTTTAAGAGAATGAACACAGGTTTGATTGAGCTTGCTAAGATCTCGATGCATCATTAGCAGTGCGTGAATAAAATGCAACGATAAGGAACAGACAATGTGAGTAAACTCGTCGATTATTGCTAACGCCGCACCAGCGTGACTTTGTGTACACCGAGAAGGCCTTTAATTTTCCTCATGTTACAGCATCGAACAGCTCCTCTTCTATAACAAGGAATTCTTTTCTTCTATAACTTTGCTCTCTTGTGGATGAGAAAGATCGTATTATAGGTACGGAGTGCCAACTTTATTCCCTTACCTGTGCATCAACAGCCTAGCCGCTGTAAAGATCGGATGTTTCTTTAATGTACTTTCAATGCATGAAACGTTTACATCGGTATCAAATTTACAGATATGAATTGAGCGTAAGGAGAAAAATGTCTTTTGCATATTTTCAAAGTTACAGTAAAAATTACAGGTCAAATTTGTTGTCGGTTTACTTTTAAGAAAATTGTAACTCATTGATTATGCCTGAGGTATATTGAAGCCAATTTTAAGTTTAGTTCATGTACAAAAAAATTATATTCAACTCCATTGGGTTGTATACAACCTACGAGTGACTTATCCATGTAGGAGCAGCATTGTCTGTCACTTTAGCGACATCCACCCACCGTAGTCTACAGGAACCGTAGTCTACACTCTACAGGAACCGTAGTCTACACTCTACAGGAACCGTAGTCTACACTCTACAGAACCGTAGTCTACAGGACGATTGATCAACTCCTACAGCTGCCGAGTTGATGTAGCAGGACAATATGCTTAAGGGACCTGCGTGAACACGTCTACTTTTAGATGATGTAGTTTATATTTATCTATGAATGTTTTAAGACTTAAGGATTTACTATACTTTAATAAGAGTAGTATTTACACGAGATCAGTGTCTTCGAAATGTTTGATATAAGCCATGTATTAGCAACCTACTCATACCCCATGTTAGGTAGTAACCGAATCGACACTTCAGCGAACTCGCCTGCGAGCTCGAATGCAAAACCTAACTTAATTATTAACTCTGGCACTCATAACTCCGTCATAGGTAGTAGCGTTCGAGCACTGCCATCTTACAGATCTTGTCTGGCAAAACGGTAAAAACTTGCGGCTTTCTTGGTAACCAACTTGAATATATAATAAATTTTAGAAAGCCTTCATGTACGAATAATTTTTGTTAATACGATTCAGCAGCTCGCTGTCATTGTCTTCATTTACGTGTAACGATAGCACAGAGACATCAGGCACGCCCGATCTATAGTAGAAAAGTTATATTGTAAAATATTACATAACAAGGTTAGCATTAAAGACTAGGCATTTTTGGTGTTAGGCCAATTCTGAGCATTGCAAAGAAATGCACGGTCACTCGGCTTTCGTACATTGTAATTTACAATGAAGACACGAGCATAGCCAGAAGTATTACGAAGTATTAAAAAAATAACCGACTGAAAATCTCCTTTTTAAACGTGTCATTATGATTCAAAACTCACGGTAACAAATTCGTTCTATATTCTCTTGTGGGAGCGGTCTTCGCGCATGTCGAGTTGGGCAACAAAAATTTTTCGAAACGTCATGCGAATACTAACACACAAAAATTGGTCATTCATTCATTAATTAATCTCCTAAAATTGTTACAAGTATCCATCCGTTGACGTCTTTCATGTCAGCAATGGGCGCTGCGTATTTTGAGAAGCACCAACACTCCCCTTCCCTGTAGAATGTACGTTCATCTCATCATATTAAATCGTAATTTTTTATCGCAATTTTACGCCAGTTTTGATGATGTTTTTCCAGGGAAAAGATCATTTGTATTTCATTCTGAGCGGGTCGTCTTGTACGCGACCATCTCCCGCTGGTAAAGCACGAATGGCTGCAACGCAGCTCCTGCAAGCCTTGTGACTGGCGTCGGGTCAGGATCCATGAACAATGCCTATTAGTAATTATAACACAACCTGGCTTCCATACTGTATAATTCAAGTAGCTTAGTTATAGACTGAACCTTTGATATGAATATAGCACGTGATATTCGAGGCTATTCATTTCATTATCCACGCTTGTCCAACTTATAGGCATATACTTGCTTCCAGGATGAAGGAATCGCTTCCTTTCACAAGTGCCGTTCAAGTTAAAGGCCAAAACTGTCAGCGAATTTTAAAATCTATTTAACTTTTTATGATCTCATTTCTTTAAATTAATACATAAATTATCTATCCAACAAAAATTTCATCGAGGCTTGGAGCGAGGAAGTGAAAGAGCGGCGAAAAATTTTAAGTTTGTATTATCAACATAATGAAATAAGCCCAGTGAGTTAGAACTACGCAAACATTGGAATGTGATATTTGGAGTCTAGACAATGTGGCAATAAATATTATAGAGGTATGTTAAGATAATCTCAGCACCTCCTGATAAATTTTGACTGCGGTCTGGTAGGACTTGCAATAGTCATCTTCAATCATAATACTATTATTATTTGCAATACTCAGCCACCATTAAAGGTAACTTGAGCACTAGAAGTTACAAAAAAAATGTCTTTATAAAAAATCATCTTTATCAAAATAAATCAAAAACTAGCGCTCGAAAGCGAAAAATTATAAGATATACCAACAAATTTCAAATTTATTCTAAATAATATGACTGACGCTTTTAAAATATACCCACACACAATAGAAAACGTAACACGAAGAATTGCTAACTATTATAACAAGTGAAAACGAAAATCTAAAAAGCCCCAAATGAAAAGCAATTTTACATTTTCCTCAAGCTAGCCACGAGCTTTGCTGCTAAGAAATTCAAGAAGCCCTTCAGTGATGGTGGCTTCTTAACAAATAAAACTATTCATTCTTGTCTAGTATAAAAATGCTGGCTATAAAGCGCTCTTTACAGTTTCTGTTGACTAGTGAGCGTCGGTTGATATATGAATTGGGTCTCAATAAGGTAACTAATACTAAGTACTGGGCTCCAGGGAACATTTATCAATTTAATGAAAAGCTCCATCATCTAGGGCACCAGAGAATTAACAAAATTATTCAGATGTCAATAAAGTGAACTGCTTTAAATCCATGTGTATATGACGACACTTGAGCAAGAAATGACTGAATGAATTTTTATGAGATAAGATTAAAATATGGATATCCCTCCTAATGTTGCTTCACAACGTCCCTGAACATTAAACCATGGATACCAAGCACATTTAAAAAAATTATAAGAAGTTTACTTCTAACTCCGCTGATAACCAGAACGTCAAGAGTGAGTTCTTAAAAAAAGTACTGAAATTTCTATGTCAGTTGCATAACTTGCCACTGGAGACATTGCGATGTGCTGTAACAAACCTAAAAAATGCGCATAAAAGTAATATATGGAGCGACATTGAGCGCTGACGTCGTATCTCTTGAACAAATCATCAACGGCTTGAGAATTGACATCTCAATTGACGTCTGGCCCCACTAGGCCGAGATGAAAATGTTTCAGAAATAAAGAGATCACCAAGCTTGTCAGCGCTAAAACTCCACTCATTAATAGTCATTGTATCGCACAACTTTTTTCGTAATCCGATTCTAAAAGCAGCTGCCCCGTCGCTTGTGGACCAATTGATGCCGGCGGCGATGAAGGCTCCTTTGACTTAGAAGCTGCCGCTGATTCCTTTCGGGCTATAAGCTTCGTAAGTTTTCCACGCAACGGGCTCTTCTTTTTCGATGAATCAGAAATTAACGTTAGATCTTTGGCTTGAATCGTAGCAGCAGCGCCATTGGTTCGTACCTTTGCAGCATCTAGCACGTCCTTGATGAGTTCGGCACGTTTCAACCAATGCTGGATGACTTCAAGCAACAATTCCCTTCTTCTGCCGTGTGGCTCGTTTTGTGATAAGCTCAGCAGCTTTCCCAGCGCTAGTTCATACTTTTCGATTGCTATGGAATTGCTGCCTTCTTGCTCGTACAGTTCCGCGGACTTGGCGATGTCGATGGCGCCCAACATGGTTGCGGTGGTGGCAGCGAGCGCCGATAGCTCCAGGACATTCTGTTGATGTATGATCCATTCTCCAGCAGAAATTGTATTGGGCAGAAAATCAGTTGAAAAATTTCTCGCTTCATTATGAACAAAAATGCTTGCGAGTGTTGGACCTCCAACTGTGGGAGCGTCAACTGTCGGCGGGCCAGAGTCCGATAGAAGCTTTTTGAGCTGGTCGGTCCGGTCTAGATATTGCTTCGCGGATTTCCTCATGGCTAATTTCCGACTAGCGTCGGTTTCAATGTGGATGGCGGGCACGAGATAGCGCAAACTCTCAACGTACAGGTCCAAAGCTTCCTTATATTCATGCTTCTGGTCGTGTTCGACGGCCTTCACCACAAGGCTTCTCGCCTTTTCGCAACTGTCAGCCTTAGGCCTGTGCTCCAGATCCACAAATGAATGCTGGAAAAAATCTTCGAAATCAATGCGCTTCTGGGGGTCGCGTTCTAGACACCGCATCAGAAGATCCTCGCACTCTCTCGATATGCACGCCTGAGAAGGTATTTTAATAGGTACGTCTGACTTTATTCGTTGTATGAGCTCCTCCATGGAAGCTGAGGAGTAAGGAGCTTTGCCGAACAGACATTCGTAGAGAATCACGCCTACAGACCACAGGTCAACTTTGGCATCGTATTTTTTATGAAGCAATATCTCAGGAGCCATGTATAATGGACTCCCTTTAATTTTCGACACAATTTCGGACTCTGAGAGATGCTGGGCCAGACCGAAGTCGGCAATTTTTACAACTGGATTTTTTCTTGACGTAAGTAGAATATTTTGAGGCTTCAAGTCGAAATGACTTACTTTTTGCTCTCGCATGTACTCGAGAGCAGAAGCCAACTGTTGCAGGAAACGTTGACAGGCTATCTCAGGCAACCTATGACGACTCTTGATAAAATGAGACAAATCCCCACCACCACAATACTCCATCAAAATATACACGTAATTCTCATCACAAAGGAAGTCGATGAGCTGGACGATATGATCATGCTTCAGCGATTTTAGAAGCCGGATCTCTGTAATTAGACTATCAGTCGCTGAAGACGAGAGATTACTGCGGAGAACAGCTTTGATTGCAACAAATTCTTTCGTCGCAGGTGGCTTCCTGTAGGCTCGGTAGACATCGGCATAGCCACCTGAGCCTATCTTCTCACACACCACGTAATCGGCGAGCCTCACGGGCGGTAATCCTTCTGTAGGTGCCATCAGTTATTACTTTAAAGTTTGACTTCTTCACACAGTGAAACTTCACACATTCTACTTTTTCAACTCTAAATTCTTTTCACATTAAGTGAGGAGTACAGAAATTTGAACTTTATTGAAAAAAATTGATGCCAAAACAATGCCAAATTGACAATTCATAAGCCACAAAGCTTCATTTCATCAAATTTTCAGTGAAAAAGATAGGAATTTTCAATAAGCATAGAATCAGGTCTGCTGTCTTGGCATCTTTTACATTTAACGTTATAAAATATCTGATGCTTGTCAACTGAAATGAAACAAATATATAAACATTACCAGGTCTTAGTAGTGCAAACTTACTTTTTTATCTGTTAAATAGACTAATCAGTAGGTAATTAAATTGGGTTAGCTTTGAAATGAAAAATTTGCAGGTATAGTCCAGTCTAAAACAATACTTTTTGAACTCCGATCAGTTTTTGATCAGGCTCATATCACTTTTTCAGATCACTTTTTGAGAAATTCATAAATAAAATTCATCAGAAATACCTAGTGCACAATAGTATTGAATTGTAGTATTGTGAATGATTTTTAAAGTAAGTGAATCAGGCTAACCAACTTGCTGCTTTGAAGTTAGCACCATTGAATAATGGCTGGCTGATGTAAAGTTGGTTAACAAGGGCCTATTGAAGAATGAAGGCCCTACAATTTGGTTCTTGACTTAAATATTGTTTTTTTTTTCAGAAGATGCAATGAGAATCATGGAATTGACAAAGTTGAAATGCACTTTTTGCTACTGCTAAGCCATTACCAGGATATTGAGGCTCCAAATTCTCAAATTTTGAACTTAATTTTAATTCTCATGGCCTAATTGCCATGATAAAAAGTTCTCATTTGATTTGAAGCCATCAAATGAAAATTATGAAGCTACAAAAATGACATGAAAGCTCTAGTCACAGCTAGGAAAGTAGGGTAAAGTCACATAGGTCACCACAACATGCATTTGCTAGCTTTAAAGAGAAACAATCTATTTTAAAAATAAAACTAAACAAGTTCCTAACAATACCAAAGTAGTGTGATAATTATTTTGTGGTTATCAAACCCTAAAAATTCCAATTCTGAGTTCTGAATGGTATTACAAGATTATTATTCATTATTCATTAGCAGCAAATCAAGCACAGTGTATATCTGCTGAACTGAGTAGGTAGCAACTCACTTGTCACTGACAGTAAATATTATCCATATATACCGTCAACCGGGGCTATTCGGGACAGATTTGAACGATTAGTTTTAAACAACAGTTAATAACTTCTTATGATGAAACATTTCATAAACAAGTTTAGTTTCATTTTATAGCTAATTGGCAGGGCTATGGAATGGCATTGTCAAAAAAATTCCATGTGCTATTCGTATGGTGCCAGACGCAAAATAGAGCTTGTCCTGAATAGCCCCGTCGGTCAGGGCTATTCCGGACAAGGGGAATAAAACAGGAAGGCTCCTAATTTCACATCATTTTAGTTGGGACTTCCTGTGATCATTAACTTCACGTGGTCATTAACTTCACGTGATCATTAACTTCCCGTGGTCATTAACTTTGCGTGATCATTAACTTCGCGTGATCATTAACTTCNGCCTTTAATGCTCATTGACAAAATTTTTCTATGTCAAATAGTTTCTGAGTTGTGGGGGTTTTTGTAAAAAAACGAAAAGTGGTCTAAGTTACCCCGCCGGTCTAAGTTACCCCATTTTACGGTACTACAACAGTTTTACGCCGTGTCATAGGCCTGTCCCGAATAGCCCTGCCTGTCTCGAATAGCCCCGGTTGACGGTATATATAAATGTATAGGTATATATATATTTACTTGGCCAACTAAAATTTGTGAAATCAATTGGCATTAACTGGTCACCTAAATCAAATATTTTAATTTGGCTACAAACATTTTGTTACCATATCCTGGTGCATATGAAGTCTGTTTGCATAAATGAGAAACGTGGTTACAATTTTAGTTTATTGACACAATCAATTCAGAGCTCATGCAGGCAGAGTGAAATTCTAAGAATGGTTGTTCTCTTATTCACAAATTTAGATAATTGGAAAGAAGCTTCCCATGAAGGAAATAAAACTGTTCATCTTGTGGACATTTTCACCTATTTCTATAGCAATTGTCCAATCTCTTTTGTTTAAATAAAAGAACATGTATAGTTTTCCTTAAGATTTTGGAAAATCACACATGAAATAATTGTTTTTACCTCTAATTCTGGGAAAATTATTCTTAATATTTCATAATGGCTTGTTTAATAGTATTCAATATGGATCCAACAGGGTTACTTGCTTACATAAGAAATTTCAAACTGCAAAATTGGGCCAAGGACACCCATACATTAGACAAAAATGCCTATGCTTATGATGCGCAATTTCACCCATTTTAATGAAATTTACTAGTTCCTTTCATAAATGAAATTGAAAAATGGTCCCATTCACTTCTGATTTTCAATCAGAATCATACACTTCTGATTTCAATCATAATATCATACAATTTCAGTAGGTGTGAAATCTCGCAGCCCTAACGTCATGTATTTTTGTTTGATTGAAACATGTGTTTGAATCACACATTGCAAACATGTTGTTTCAACAACCAAAATGTTTCCTTGAAGATCGTGTAGTTTTGGTCACCGGATCACAATTCAGAGTGGCCAGTCCCAGATTGCAATATTATGTGTTCAGTTGCGGAGTTGCCACTTAAATGACTACATATGTTAGTGTTGCTGTTTTACGACTGTTTTTAGGGTAAAATTAGACATAGTGACAAAGCAAAGAGTTTTTTAGACTCTCCCTCAAGTTCATTTTTGAGTCCTATAAGTAGACCAGTAAACTGAGTAAAGTACCATCATGGATACAAGCATTATCATACTTGAGAAATTGGTTTAAATCTTAAGTAAATGAAGAAATTAAAAATGAACTGATTCTAAAAAAAGCTCTGGTTTACCACTATGAATTAGAGATTTGGGGTAACAGGTACACAGGACTTTAAATAGCTTTTCATAGCCAAAATACGGAATTCATGGCTCAAAAAATGGAATCATAGATAGCACACCCATAGCACACCAAAAAATCCAATTGCGGCTTGCCAAGTAGATATATTCCATGCCTGAATTGAAGAATATTCAGTTCCCATTGGATGCCAATCATGCCATTGTTATTGTAAGCATGTAAGGTCAACTTGTCAAGGTGGGTCATGGGTGATGAACTGGTGATTGATAAAGATCTCAAAAATATGCCAATATCATGAGCTAAGCTAAAAATCCCAATTTTACAGCCTGGTTGACTGCATGATTTCAGTATTAAATATGTATGAATCAAGAATGTATGATACTTTCATTCCAGAGCAGGCAGAGCTCAACAGTAAAATAACTAATTTTTGTTGCTTGACTGATGAGCAATTCACTTAATTGAGCATAAATTTTAAAATATATTACAGTAGGTAGTACATAATGTATGTTATTTTTGAAATAAGCCTAGCTAGTTTCAACTTTTAAAAGGTAAATTTCCTTTCATTCAAAATAAATATAATAATTAACAGAACGAACAAGCCAAGTTATACAATATGACGAATTAATAAAATGGTTATGTATGCAGTATGATTAATGTATAATCAATGACCCTACTTTCCTTCTTGTATTTGACTATTCAACTGTCAAGGAAGCTTCGTAAATCGATAAATGAAACCATAGTTCCAACTTCCATGCAGTCCGAGCGGAGCTCCAAGCACGTTAAATGTCAGGATTAAAATGACAGCTGATGTGCTGGACCACAATCACCACACCAATGCTTCCGAATTAAAAGAATCCGCATGTGCAGAAAAGCAAATAATAAAGCCGAGCGGTGCACGGCTGATTAGTGTAGGTCCGGAGAGATCCAAGGCGTTCGATTCAGTGCTTATTGGTGCACAAAATTGGTGGTGCACGGCTGCGCTCCCCTCTTTACACTGTATGACCTGTAATAAAATCCAATAACGGCAATAAGTGCTATTTAGATGAACTTTCACACATCAAGGTTGAGATAATCAGGGGGTAAATACAATAGGTCTCGGAAAAATTTACGGCCGGACCCAAGCCGGAAATGTTTTTTTTCGTGTTTTTTTATGGGGTTTTCTAAGTTTTTTGTGTTTTTAATGCAACCTGTTCCTAACTGGACCTAACCTGCGAGGTTTTCGTTGATTGGCTATGTTTTTTCTATGTTTGGAGTCCGGCTGCCGCGAGACCGGCCGCGGGTCCGGCCATAAATTTGTCCAAGATGTTTAGGAATATATATTCAAAATTTCGTTTAAACCTGCTCAGTAGGTACTGTAGTTTAGAAGAAATGTGATAATCACGGCTAATCTCGGCCCGTTTCGCCGATAACCCACAAATGAAGGTGAAAGATAAAAAAAATCATGGGCTAAATATCATTGTTAGGGCGTAATGAATGCGTGTACCAAGGTTCATAGAGTTGCGTTTATTAGTTTGAGAGATATTCCTTGGTCATTAAATTTGGATAACGGCCGTGTGCCCGGCCACGAGTCCGGCCGTAAAATGTCTCGATTCAGTCGATATACATGGAATTGGAATTGGAATTGGGGTGCGTGGTGACCTACGGTCACGACCTTTAAATCGGTCATACACGCTGCCTAAAAAACTTTTACTAGCATCAAAAAATTAAAAGTTCACACTCTTATGTTAACAGAAAAGTTCAAATATACCATATTCATAGCTGTCCTAAGAAAAAATATAAAAAATTTGACAATCGCAAAAAATTAAAACCACGTACCAAAACAATTCGGCACGTTCACACGTCTTCCCACCCTCCCCTCTCTCAACCCTCCATTCCTCAAGACCCCACTTACAACATCCTCCTCCTCTCCCTCATCATCCACGCGTTTTCCAAATATCTCTTCACACTCTCAAACATAGCCGCAGTTGCTCCCTCAGACAGACCCGTAATTATCGCCATCCACTCTTCGCTTGTTCTCTCATGCCCCACCTCGTTAGTCTCACCTCTCTCATTCAGAATCACTTCAATCATAGACTGACGCTCTCTCTCATACGCCCCACATTCCATCAACAAGTGCTCTACAGTTTCCTTCTCATCCCCATCACACATAAAACATTTATCTTCTCTCCTTTCATTCCACCTGTATGTACGTCCTGTCTCTTATACACATCTAGATGTGTATAAGAGACAGGTGTTAGCTTGCGTTTCAACATGCTTAGAAAATTTTAGCTCCTTGTCGACATAAACTCCGAGATCTTTTTCCACACTAGACTTTTCAATCTGGCGTACTCATGTACTCAATGTGATTGAGTGCATGCTGCCTGTGACTCGGTGTCTACATATAATCGGTGACTTTTTTGTTTTGGTTTCCATAGACATTCATTGTATATTATTTCGCAGAAGACTTAACAAAACTATGTCTGTGACTCTGTGTCTACATATACTGTAATTGTGATATTTTTTTGGTTTCCTAGACATTCATTATATATTATTTCTCAGAAGACTTGATTCTATAAGTTAAAGAATTAAAGTATTTATAAGCACTCTGTAAAATTATGGATGAATGAAAGCATGCTCTCAATCATTGTTACGCTGCTTACGCATCATAATTTTCATTTTCGAACCAGCCGCGCGATGCTTATTCACATAGTAAGCGATATTAATCTCTTTTAAAAATTGAGTGGTCATAAAATTAGTTCTAGATGGATTTTTAAACGTTTCAAAATACATTAAAAAATTTAATATGAAGATTTTTCTGTTTTTAATTTTCTGAAGAGCGTAAAATACTTCTTGAGCATGCAAGGTTTGCTGAAAGTCTTAACTCACTACTCAGCTGTTCTTCATGTGATCAACAACAATGGCGGAGGAAACAACACCACTTGTTCGTTCGTCGCAAAATGCTGATAATTCAGACTCGTATGGAGGAAGAAGTGTTACCGATTACTTTGGTTAGTCAAATGCGGATGTTGACCGTTTTTCTCGTATAGGTTTGGATTTATATTAATTATACAATGAATGAAAGAATTATTATTTATTGAATGTATTATTCATTATTTAATGCTGATTTTTTGCTGTGCTAAGTGTGCTTCATGATAAGTTCGTCGTTCAACCAAACTCGAGCCAATCATACTATAATAATAATAATAAAAGCCACCAATGACATGTTTACTGGCACAGTCTGACGGTCTGACCTTTCCTTGGATTGGAATTATCCTACTTTTTTGTTAGATATTGCGGCTCCTGGCTCCAAACTTTGAAGTTTCATCTCTTATATGTAATCAGCAATCTCATTGTTCCACCTTCCAAAGAAACTTTTCTTTTGTTTGATCAAGTATCAACAATTGCCTAACTCACAAATTAATTATTCTAATAATATTAATATAGGATCTGCAATTTAGTTAGGACTAAACACTTGCCAAGGCCCAAGGATGCAGAAATTTAACACTTGCCAAGGATGCAGAAAGAGAGCTAGTCAGCATGGAATTCTATAAATAATGGTCTATACTGACAACGATTATACCTATTACATAGTGACAAACCAGAGAGTTTTTAGAATCAGTTCATTTTTAATTTCCTCATTTACCCAAGATGCAAACCAATTTCTTATGTATGATGATGCTGGTATCCAGGATACTTTACTGGTCTACTTATAGGACTCAAAAATGAACTTGAGGGAGAGTCTAAAAAACTCTCTGCTTTGCCACTATGACCTATTACTTTCTATTTTCAATCCATGTAGGCCAGTCAGCCTAGTCTGGAAAAGTCCTATTTTTGTCTGAAATATCGCGGCTCTAATATCATATAATTTCAGTAGGTATGAAATCTCGCGGCTCAAATGTCATAAATTTTTGTTTGATTAAAAAATCGCAGTTTGCACTTCGCAAACATGTCATTTCATAAAATTTTCAACTTCCGCAATCCGCATTGCTTTACCGTTTCCGCCAAAAATATCTTGCAGAAAAAACATAAACATCGTAATGTAAACAAATAAACAAAACGTTTGTTGAAGATCG